AGCATAGGGAAAACCCCTAAGCTGACAAACGTCAAACGCTGGGTAAACGACTCCCAATCTATAAATCTGGTAATTCGATGTGTGATAGTATATACAACAATAGCACATGAACACAACTAAACATATCCGAAAGAGGTATACTTATTTAAAAATGTTTTCAATGAACAAGAGACGAATCCGAGATATTTGGGTTTTTTTTTTAAAAGTTAACTTTGCTGAAGTCTAGTTTCTAGTGGCCTAGAAATGAATTTGCACCTACATACGGGACACTTTGAAGAAGGTCTTGTGCATGGGCGTATATCGCCGACGTGCAGGTAGATCGATCGAGCCTCGTATATTAATTAGGAAGCGCAAATTATACTTTGGATTGCTGAATCACAAATCTAGGTTATATGCAGAATAAAATCCCATTCTATTTGCTAAGATTTTTAGCAGACTGCCGGCTTATATGCAGCGTGTTGACAATCGCCCGTTTCTTCTACATCATAGTTACGCCCTTAGGTGAAAAGTAACAGCAAGGAAAACATCATTGTAAACACGATACTTTCCGCTTTGTCGGTAATTAGTCTTAAAGGCCAGACGCGTACTTAGCCTTTCTCGGCCTACGAGTCGTAAATGACTGCCTTACTTGTGCCCTTAAGGACATTCCTCACTTGACAGTTAATACTGCACTGCAGACGAGAGTCGTATCCATCTCCTCCGTCTATTCTCAAGCCTTCCTCTCACCCCCGCACTCCGCCATAGTCCCGTCATCAGCAATATAATCATCATCATTATTATTATCATCGTCGAGTGAGGATGAAGCTAATGAATAAGTAATGCAAGAAGGGCTTGCGTAAGCTTCGGAGGCGTGCTGCCTCTCGGAGTTCTCCACCGTCCGCTATAGCTTGTTCGTGGCAGCGTTCGAGTGTAGCGGAACCAGGAACGCACAGAGCAGCAGTAGATGAAGGCACGAAGCGCTCATTCAGCGCGGCCGGCCGGCCGGCCGGCCAGCCAGCCAGCCAGCCAGCCACCTAGTCATCTAGCTAGCTAAGTGGCTGGCTGCCAAAATACTAATGCTAGTCGTTGGTAGCTAGCAACAGCAGTCGAGCAAGACGCGATCAAGCAAAACGGGAAGAGCCTAGTAATATCAACAACGGACGGGAATCTCGCCCGGCGCTGCGTCATGCGACGAAGAAGCAAAAGAAAAAGCTGAAGAAGTAGTGGTTGAGGCGACACAAGAACGACGAAGAGAAGCAGCGATGGCCTGCTACTACTGACTCCCGTGCAATATACATGCACACACATATACATATATATATATATACCTATTGCTAGTCGTGTTATTGTAGGAAGAAAGAGAGTGCGTGCAGACTCACTGCCTCCGCTCCACGTCACTTGAACATTTGCATTCTCCTTCATATATATCTCGTGTACACCGATCGCCGGCGCCATCCTGAACTTCTCTGAGCTTCCCCATTTCGCTATGGCTGTTTTGGCGCTAGGCATACTCCGTCCTCCATCTGCCGTTGCAGCTGAAGCAGCGGAGTTAGGCCGACGGCAGACGACAGCGCCGCAGCGGAGCCACTGGCCGGGTCGATCTCTTTCTACTTAAGTGTCGCTGGATGTAGGCTTTTTTGCTGCCTATTTAATGTGCCATCAAGGTTACCGGTGTTTGCTATTCAGAAAGGAGCGACGGAGCCTTAAAGTCTAAGATGAATGTAAAGTCATAAAGACGCAGAGATGGCCACAAATGACAGACTAGCAGCTTAAATTTGACGCTGTGAGATGATGATATTCTTTTATCTCAATCGTTATCAACTATCTAGAATATAAATATTGTATTCTTGCTCACACTACAAACGCGACGTTTGTCCAGGGACGTTAACTGCATATACACGGACATATATCTATTAGAATGTTGAAACGCGACCTGTTGAGTTGTACGTACCGCCATGCGCTACGATATAGTTTTCCCTATCGACTAGGAATGCCATAATATACAGCAGCGCTGAGTTAAGGTTTTATACGAAGCTTATTTATTAGCTTTATTAAATCTCGCTAGCTGGCTGAAGCTTTGTCATGTTGTACCATTGAGTATGTAGATGTATATATATAACGTTACGTACGTTCAGCGAAGGATCCTATTCGGCAACAAATCTTCGTTTTTTTTTTGAAGGAATCAGCTACCTTTTCCTTAGCCTAAGGTTGAACAGAGAATCGACATCCACCGAATGAGCCTGGTGACTATCCAGAAGGTCGCTAGGACTGTCTCTACTTCGGACGAGGTTGGTTTGCTGCTGATGCTGATGCGGTCATCATTGTCATTATCAGCAAAGATTAATCGTACTGGAGAGGAGGGGGAGCCCGCTACGTGATCTAGCCTCCCTCGCGCTTCGCATAATTTAATTAGGCCTAATTTATATTACGATAATATGGGATTCGGGGCCTGTGCTCCATACGTTGATCATACATGCAAAGCAGAGTGCTCTACACACACGTACCTATAAAATTATCCAGAAGGAAAAGGCTACAATAGAGAGTAGAGAGTATTTCGTAGATATTTAATAGCTAGGAGATTATATACACGAATACCAGCTACGTATCTGGCTAGCAGGTGATACGCTCGGGTTTGCTATAGACTCCTCTCCCTTTGTTCCGTACCGCTAGGGCTGTGTGTCTGAACGTAAGTGCTTGTGGGCTTACCTTATTCGCTTTGATTCGATCAGCCAGTGTGACTGACCTCGATGGATAAGAGAACTAGCTGGCCTATGCCTATGATGACGGGGTACAGCAAAGGCCCTCCGAGTTTGACAATGGATCGAACCTTTGTAGAGATTTTTTATATGTTTATAATATATA